TCAATTATTTTTCAAACTAGTTTTACATTAAATTTTTACTTCATAACTTCATTTTTTCTATATTTAAAAAATTTTTTTTTATTTTTTCTATATTTTTATTTCTTAATCTTTTCTTTCAGATGATTTAATATAATTTTCAATTTTTAACACTTATAATACTTTTTTTTTTTTAAGAAAAAATGATTCAAATGAAAAAGCAGCAAAAAATGTGAAATTAATTTTTTGACCAAAAATAATAAATATCAAATCAGTAAAGTCTAAGCATTCATTATCACTGCAAATGCGCACAATTATTTTAACTTTTAATTAACATCCGTTAAGATAGTTTTTCAAAATGATTTCCAATTTCAAAAAATATGTTATTCGCAATTTTTAACTGAAAACTTATTTATTACTAAAAATATAAGCTTATGAAATAAATTGCTAACATTCTGCACTCAGATGTTAATATATTTATTTTAATTTAAATGTAACGAAACTTTCATGTTTCACATTAAATTTTGATCATAAAAAAAAAAAAAAAAAATTATTCTTTAGTTATAAATTATTGAATAAAATGCTTTAATGCGTTTTGGATATTAATTAATTACCAATATAATGACACTTAGATTAGTTAATATAATTTAGTAAAAATCTTAATTTAATACCGGAAGTACAACGAAGAAGAAAGGATTATAAATTGGAATTCCTTTTTGATTATTGATGGAATTTTGCCTTTTTTAATTTGAGGATATACTTAAAAAAAAAAGAAAAAAAAAACGCACAGACACATTTTGTTAAAAAATACTTTTAAATTTTATTTACCTTTTAACAAATATAATTTTTATTGTGCTTAATTAGATTTAATCATTTTACAACTGCCGTTTTGAATGATATTATGTAAGCAATAGTGATGTTTTTTTTTTGTATAATAAAATTTGTTTAAAAAGTAAATCACCAACTGTTTGGATAGGCAAAATTTACCCATTTAGAGTGATATGTGTTTTATGAACGGGTAAATTCAAGGTGAACTGACATATCAAGTTTAAATATTTTAACATTTAATAAAAACTTTTGAGTTTGCACATACGCTATTTTAACACTGATTTCAAGAAAACTAAAATTAAAACTAGAATAAGCGACAATTTCAAATAATGTATTTGTTACTTGCATACTTAATTTTAATTAGTAACGATTTATACATTTAATTTCTAATTAAAAAACGAATAAAAAAAAACGACCATAATAATAGAACTAATATTTTTTATTTTATTTAAAAAGTTTATTATTGCTAATCTATAAAAACTAAATTATTTCTTCCTGTTATAAATTGCAAATGTAGATTTTTCTTTTGTTCCTGTTATAAATAATGTAATCTTTTAAAAATGAATTTGGATACTTTTGAAAATTTGAAATTTTCGATTTTAAAACGGAATTTTGAAAATAATCCAAAAGTGTGAAAAAAAAAAAGGAATTAACATTCGAAAATTACAAATATGCCTTACCGATTAATAGTTTATTAATTGGATGGATATATTTCGTGGACTTTAACCTGAACCGGAAAAGCAATTAAGATCAAAACCTGACTGTGATACATAGGTTTTCAGTTTTTTTTTTTTTTTTTTGTTTGTTAGGCAAGCATTTTCCTTAGCTGGACAATATTATATTGCTATTTATTATATATGATCTGCACTATGCTTTCAATCTTTCAGGTTTTCCGCTTTGCGAATAATTTGATACGACAAATCGTCATGAATTTTGCAAGAATCTTCAAGTGTACTGAAGAAAAATTCAGCAAAACACTTAAAATTATTTTTTAAAAAAAATAGCAAATTATCTGAACAAATATCTTTCTATAATTTTAACACTGGTGCAAAGCTCATTTGCTGAAAACAATACTTTTAGTTTTTGTAAACTAAAATTTTTTAATTGAATATTTATTGGTATCATATTTTGAGAACTTCAAAACTGAATTACCATTATTATTTTTTGGAAAATGAAGTTATTGATATTTAATGACTTTGCAAATAATAAGAGAAAGAATTTTTACTGCAGATAATATCGAAGTTTTGAACCGGTAAAATAAAAGAACAAATGAATTAGATTAGTTCAATCATCAGAAGTTTTCTGATTTCCATTACACTTTCCATTTTTTTTTAATTCTAAAAAATTGCTTTTTGAATTTTTTACTTTCCTAATGAAAAATTTGGCAAAATTATGGTTTCTAATATTTTTTCGTTTTTGTTTTTAATTTAAATTGATTTGAAAAATAGAAATTTAGAGCTAAAATTAAACCAATAACATACTGCTTTAATTCATTCTGTTTTTCATTACTTTTCTATCAATTATCTTCACAAAGCAATACTTTCATTTTTTTTTTGTCTGAAATTTGAGTTTCCAGCGAAAAATCAACTTCGTTGAAATTAATCGATAAAAATTTGAAAATAATTAGCTATAGATGTGTTGCATCATGAATCATTGAAAAGCAAAACATTTTAAATGAAAATTTTTAAATTCAGCTTTTCAAAAGTTTAAGTGAATTTCAGATCGACTTTTTGTTTGTTACTTATTAAAAATTTTTGTATGCATGCGGTGAGAAGAAAATAACTGTGTTAAAAAGAACAAAAAAATTGTGTTAGAAAAAAAAGCAAATTAGTGTTATGATGAATAAATAATATTGTTATAATGAAATTTCGTTAAAAAATTGCAATAATTATATCAAAAAATTGATTCAGGTAGAATTTAAAATTATTATGAAATTGGTAATATATTTTTATTTTCTCATTAGTAACAACAAATAGTGACAAAAATTTTTTTTCTTCAAAGAAATCATTATCATTTCCTTTCTTCAATTTTTTTAAAAAAAGGAAATAAAAGAAAAGACAATTTTTTTTTTTTTTTCGTTACTTGAAAATGCTAAATGCTTCGCTGAATACATACTTTTCTCAAACATTCATTGCACTTTTTGCGATAATGAAAGAAGAATCGTTTTATCTTAGAAAAATGTGATAGTGTTCAATGTACTAATTAATTAATTAACCGATTAATCAATTCAACTTGCATTAACATCATTTGAACAATTTCATATTTTTTATCGTTTTATTAGTTTTTTTTTTTTTTTTTTTTTTAAATCATTTATATTGGCAATATGTTTGCAATGCCCGAAAAATTCTTCAAAATCTATTTATTATTTTGAAATGTTAAAAAAGATTTGATTTTCTTTTTCGATGACCTCATTTCTTTTTATATTTAAACAAAAGTGATTTTTTTTTTCTTTTTTTTTTTTAAAAAGAATTTGGTTTTTTGATGATTAGAAATTTTTAATCATAGTAATGAAATTTTTGCAATTTGATCCGTAATGCTATGTGTTTATTTACACTAATTTGCCCTTTACTACAAGGAATTTTTTCGCATCATCATTTTGTTTCGTTTTCTTGCAAAAGAAAAGAAAAATTATTGTTTTGTTTTGAACATTTTCCAATTTTTTTTCCCGCTATATTTTTTTGAAAAGTTTATTCAGGCATATTTTCTAACTTTTCCATATTTGGAAATAAATATTTCTTTTCTTTGACATAAAATTATTTGCTTTATATTTAATATAGCAAAGATTTAGGCATTAAATTTATAATTTAAAAAGGATGCATAAATATATGAATAAAAAGATATGAATAAACAAGAAATGTAGGAATAAATAGTGAAACTATTAAGAAATACACGACAATGTATATATGGGTGATTTAGATTTGCAACAATATAGAGGTGAAATTAATACTGCAGGAAAACGTAAAATACACGAAATATGTGTAAAATATAATTCAATAATATATAGGACCGATTATCATGTGGATGGATTAGTTGCATAGAAAGAAATAATATATTTCGTATTCATTTTATAGATGGATTTTTACTTCTTAATATATGTGTTTAATGAAAAAAAAAATTTTTTTTTTGGATCGAATTCAAACCTGTAGCTCTAATTCTTTTGATAATAAAAACTTGTTTTGAAAATCTGAAATTATTTTCTTTTTTTTTTCTTTGCTCTTTTGCTTAAGCTCATTCTGCTCATAATGAATTCGAATCGCGTCAAATCAGCATAAAATCATATAACAAAAGAAACCTGATGCTATGGTGAATAATCAGTCTTATATCTTACCAACTAAATAATTAGTAATCAATCTCAGATTTTTTCTTTTCCTTTCCTTTTTTTTCCCCTTAATAAGATCACCAAACAGAATCTAAATGATACATAAATATATCTTATTAAAATTTCAATTCAATTAAAAAGAAGAAAGAAAACTTTTCTAAAGGAAAAATTAATATAATATTTCTTTTCATCCGAAAGTTATTTTCATTCGCTTCAAAACTCTTGATTTTTTTTGTTCGACAGCTGGTATTATTGCATCGTATTATTTAATGAAATGATACTGCAACATATTTTTAACTTTTAAATGATAATTTATTGATTATAAAATACAATGTTATTTATGTCTCAGCATTTGCATATAAATGTGAAGGTAATTGATGATGTTTAATGGATTAATGGGAGAAGCTAACTAATAATATCAATGGATCGCTTCGGTGGAGAAAGAATGGAGAAGATAGAGGAAAATGTTGAAAATACACTAAAAGAATAATCATCTATCATTCCATTCAATCGAGGAATAAACATCATCAGTAAGCTTAAACTTCTTCAAACTTTCCAACTTACTTCGTTCACACTTTGTTGACATTTCAACCTTATATTCTTTGAAGCATAATAACAATACTCTCTCCTAAATTTCTTTATCTTTTTTTAACAATAGCTTCCTCTTCTTCTTCTTCCTCTGTTTCAGCTTTATCTTTAGCTAGCTATAATATTTAAAATTGAGAATAATAACAATAAAGATAGTGAAAATGAAGAGAATGATAGATAGAAAGAAAGAAGGAGAAGAGATGGTAAGGAAGAAGGGAAAAGGAAAGGAATGATAGACGAAACAAATTTTTGAACGAAAGTTCTATCAGAAGAAGAAAACGGTGGCACTATGGTCGATTCAACAGGACGATTTGCTTGCTGTTCATTACGAGTATTTTTTATTTTAGCTTTTTTTTTTTCTTTTTCCTTTTTAAGTTATTTTTAAAGTTCCTAAATTATTATTTGTTGAATGGTTTAATGAAAATTTTTAAAGCATACATATCAAAGTAACAAAATTCCCGCTTAAAAATATAAATTTTTTATTACTATGAGATTTATTCATCCCAATTAATTTATTCTTTCTTTTCTAATACCTTCATTATTAAATTTTAAATTATGATTTGTTTTGGTTAGTTGATATAAATGTGAACATTGTAACAAATATTTTTTATGTTATTAATTTTCAGTTTTTTTCCAAATCTTTCACTAATGAACCGGTACAAGGTTTTTGTTCGGTTTCAAAAATTTTGGTACGTGAGAATTAGTTTAAGCTTGATCAAATGTTTGGTACTTTCAAAATTGTATTGTTTATATTTGCTTTATTTGTAGACATCTGGCGTGGTAGTAGCAATAACTGAATTGCTAATATGCTTAATAGCCACATATGGTCTAATCCGGAATCTCCAACTTTTTGGAACCAGCTATTTACTTTGGTTCATTATCGGTTTGTCATTTTAAGTTAAAATTAAAGTTGGTGAGTTATTGAAATCCGAGGCAGTTAAACATAATTAAGTATGCATATACTTCAGCAAACCAAATAGTAGTTATTACACACAAGTATAGTTATGTAAATAGAATAAAAGTTCTTAATGACTGGCAGTTATTCTTTTTTCGACTAGCAATTATTACAACATTGAATTACAGTCAGATTTTCATCCTTCTGCTTGCTAGGACTCAAAATTGCAACTTATATTAATTACAGAATGAATAAATGAGATAGTTCAACAGATGTTGGCATATGCCAATTTCAGCATATGCGGTAAAAATACATCTTTTTTTTCAATTCAAAATGTATTTTGTTTCTTTTTTTTGGAAGATTTCCAAAATTTTATTAGGATGATAACAGTTGTTTACAGTTTGTTTTTAAAACTTGAAAATTGTAATTTTGCTGGAGAAAGGATGAAAATCTAACTAAGTTTATTTAGGTTTAAATGTTTTAGAATTAATCTATAAATTTTGATTAATTTCGCCCAGTCAGTTTTTTCGACAAAAACTAAATTCATTTTATAATATCTGAATAATTCAGAATATGCTACGTAACTTCAGTAAAAAGAATTCATATAAATTTTTGTCTAGACGGATCAAAAAAATAAATAATTGAAATGAGCAAACAAATGAACCAATTTGGATGAAAAAAGAAACAGATAAAAATATAACTAATTCAGTTATTGGATAGCTAAAATTCTAGGAAGCATGTAATAAAAATTAATTAGGTAATAGCTGTGGTGTAATTCGATCAGCAGCAACTGTACGAATAAGTCATTAAATTAATTACTCAAATAATGGATAACTTTGCGAATTGTAGCAATGCAATTTGTAATGCATAAATATCTTAGATATTATGGCAGCTCTATTTCAACTTTCCAAATTTTACATTTTACTATCGTACATTTTCATTATTCTACAGTATCCTTTTATTATTCAAAGATTGAATCTTTAATTTTAGTGATTCAAATCATTTTTTAGGTATTACAAGCGTGATTGTAATATTAATAGTAATTGCACTACTACTCTATGCCATTAAAACTGAGAACGGCCGTCTCTTGATACCACACCTTTCTGCTCAGGTTTGTTTGTGTGTGACCTTTCTTTTCGGATTTTTTTAATTTCAATTTTTTTGTTTTGTTTTTATTTTTTAGTTTTAGGAAGAGGTGAAAACAAATGTAAAATATTGATGGTATATGTGCAAACTTTCATTTGACAATTAAAAAAATCATATTTTTCTGCATTTTATAAAATCTGAATTACCTAATTATAATTTTAAACTTATCGTGAAAGCAATCGAATTAATTCTTCAATCAACCCATCCATAATTCTTTTATCTTTGTCTTCTCCGCTGACAAATTCCTTATTTAAGTACATATCATTTATGTACTTCAATTTTTTTTTTTTTTTTTGTTTTTATTTCAATTATATTTTCCACCCTACTGTTTTCACGCTTATTAATATACACTTAATAATCACTTATTTAAATTTATTGTAATACTATAGTAATTTGCTAATGAAAAACTTGCAATATTAATTTGTTTATCACTTTGCATTAACTTCTTTCGTGTGTTAGTTACAACATAGCATGCGTCAGAAGTTTTATTGTTTACATTTCGAAAGCTAACAATTTAAAGTGTATTAGATTGTATTCAAAATTATTTTACTTCTAATTTATCAAAAACTGTCAAAATTCGATTCCATTCAACTGCCATCACATCGAAAATAGTTTACATAAATTTTTTATTAAGAACATTGAAAAAAGTTAATAATACGTCAGATCTTAAGCATTTTAAAATCTTTTAGAAGCTTATTGACATCATTTATAGATAAGGAAAGCTTTGTGAAACTTTACTAATTGACTCATAAAGTTGAATTGTTCATTTATCTTACATTAAAAGTTTTAATGAAGTCTTTTTTTGTCTACTTTTGTTTAAAATAATGCAGTATTATTTCATATGATATTGAAGAAAAAAGTTGAAAGATTAATTTCAAATCTCAACAAATTTTTACCAGCTGCTTTACAACACTTAAAATGTTTTAATATTCTGAAAAGCAAAAATAAGAAAAAACTTTGAAAATAACAACGTGTATTGATTTTGAAGATTAATTAGCAGTGGTAGAGAAGATATGATTTTTGACATTGTATTGATGTTTCGCTCAAATGTTTACTAATGCCACCTGAACTTTAGCAAAAAAAAAGCTAAAACTAGAAAATATCACTAAATTTTGTGAAATTAAAAATTGAAAATATTAAATGCGAACAAGAAATTTGGTCAATTAATTCAAATTAAATTATAATAACAACTTTTATAATTAGATCATTCATTACCTAAAGGACTTTTTACTGAAATAATGTTTAAAAAAAAAAAAAAAAATAGTCTGTTACTACCTCTTATTACTTTTGAAATTCTTGGGTAAGCACTTCAAGTATATTGTTTAAATTTTTTCAAATCTATAAATTTATTTCATTAAAAAAAAGATGGAGCAAAAAATGTTGATGAAATGTTGATTAATTAATTTAATTAATCAATTTTAGATATTTCTAATATTCTTCCTGATTATTGTGGCATTTGTTGTTACACTGTTGCTAATTTTTGGTGCATATCGTGGCATTCGAAATCTTCTTGGTCATGAAACTTATCACATCACCGATGATGGTCTCGTTTCCATCTCTAAATTTTTATTATACATTAACTTTTTTGATTTCAGTAACTATAATTTTATATTTTCATACTGTTTCTCATAGAATTGCAAAAATAATCATAATAAAACTTAAAAAAATAGACGATTTGGAATACATTTCTATCAATAATTTTTGTTTTAAGAAGATTATCCGTTTTGGAATGAATGGAATATATCCATAAAAAAAAAAAAAAAAAAAAAAAAAAACAAAACCAATTAAAACTAAACAAAATGAAAGGAAAATATTTTAAATAATTTTTAACGCTCGTTCTTATAAGACTTTAATGATCTTTCAAGATTCACTTCTGTATTCTTACTTCAAAAAATTTTGAATGGTGATTTTACAATTTTGTGATAATTTACCATAAAAATTTTCATAGTTTTCTTTAAGATTCTCAAATATCTTTTTTGCTTTAATAAGCAATTGATGTTCAAATTGAAACAATTTTCAGCAACCATAACACTTGGTTATATGATCATTGCAATATATCTTGCAATGGCAGTGCTGGAAATGGTATTCCTTTACATTATTTACAGGCTTTACAGGTAAGAATAAACTCTTAGGAGTTTGTGTTTCTTATTTATTAGTTTCTAATCATTAATAATAATTTGTTTAAAGTTTCAAATCTTCTGAACTTTGTTATTTATTTATTACTCACTTTTACGAAACTTGCAACTTTCATTTACTATACAAATTTAAACAGTCATACTGTACAAATTTAAACAGCTGAATAGATTTGCGATGCATTTCTTGTTTATTTCCTATTTATTCTTATAATATTGAGGTTAGCAAAATCTGATAAGAAAGTTTCGAATTATAGTATTCTAAACAAGTGATAGATAATTTGAAAGGGTTAGTATGAATATGTTCATCTAGAATATTTATGCTTAGCCATATAGCGAAGAAAAATATTTTGATACTTGAATGTTTGCTTAATTTTAACCGTTTTTTTTTTTTTTGTTTGCATTAAATTCAACATTTTGTGCAATATTTTAAATGTATTTTTGTCTTAAAATTCAGTTATAGTTTTGAAATGCATTAAAATGATACATTATATCAATGATTTGTTGCTTTGATGGAAAAATTATGCAAAATGTTCATTTTTAGGCACTTAAACAGATACCTCTTGATTGGATCAGATGATCCATTCTCCAAGAAAGGTCCTCGTCATCATATTTATACAGCAACATGGCAGATGCCACCGAAAACAGCTGCTGACGGAAGCGGATCACCAGATGCTGGTCACTTATATCCTTATAGTCCATAAGTACGACGATTATTGATTGACCAGTCAAATTTCGTTTATGTATAAATCTGGCAATTATTGATTGATCGATATTCATTAATTAAGTAATGGTTGATTTATTCCATCATTACTTACATCTACAAATCAATTATTGATTTTTTTATTGATCAAGAAAAAAAGAAAAGAAAAGTTCTTATTTTATGTTAATAATACTGTGTAATATATCTTTTTGCTTATATTAGTGTTGAAAAAAAATTGGATGTACTTGAATTCGTATTATCTTTTATCCGGTTCCTTTTTTTTCTCCTAATGCCTCCAATTATGCCATAACAAATATTACTCTTTTTGCTTTGTAAGAGATTAAAATAAGATAAGGAAGAGTATATTTTTAACACTGCTGATAATTGATAAGAAAGGAATGACCTTTCACCTACCCTATCACTTATCACACAATGCAAAATTAATACAAATCCTTCTTATCACTGAAGGAAATAAGGAAATGTGACGTAATGCAACTTGTCAATCTCATGGATTTTGTTTATATTTAATGACAGAGTATAAACTGTATATCCTTTTTTTTCTTTTTTTCTCTTTGCTTTATCAAATGCTTGTTTATAGTTTATTCGTCTTTTTCTCTGTCAAATTTTCATTTCAATATTAAAATAGCATTTCTGTAATTTTTGAATTCTTCAAAACTACAAATGAATTTATCATCCAAATTTTCTGTAATCCTTTTTTTTTTTCTTTTGCTATGAAATGAAGATTTTACTCTCACCTTTTGCCTCATTTTTGTCCATCTTCCTTATACTTCCTCATACACTGTCATCTTTATTGTTTATTTTTTCGAAACTTAATGTTTTTTTTTTTCTCTTTTTTTTGATTAAAAACAATAAAAGGAAAAAGTGTTGTTATTTTGAAACAGAATAATAGCAAGATAGAAATAAAATAAAAGTTTACTTCAGCAAAAAAAGAATGCAATAAGCAATTTTAGATAAAAGAAGCAAACAATTTAATAGCTATTAATTGTGAAAATTCTTAATGAAAATTCGATAACAATAATATAATCATATCATTGATAAATTTCTAATGGTTTAAGAAAAAAAAAAATGTGACACATTTTCACTTCTTTTCTTTGCAAAGGATTTCGCTTATTCATTTATTATTTTTATCGTACTTTTCTTATTTAAAAAAAAAAAAAAAAAAAAAAGAAATGTCATTTATATAATGTAATAGATAATAGATAAAAATTTGTAGATGAAATAAATAATTTTTTAAATTTTCTTCTTTCTTTTTTTGTTGAAGAATACTTCGCTTTTTCTTAACATTCAAAATTATATTATGGTTAAATTTAGGATTTCAATCTTTTAACATATGACTAATTTTTATTTGATATTGTAATTTGTTACTTTTTTTTTTTTTTTTTCTAATAATAAACAAAAAAAAAAAAGGGAAGTAGAAATCTTTATTGGTACTTTTAAATGATCAATGATTATTAATATGCTAATAAGTAGACCAATCTTATATTCATCCATTCATATATGCTAATTAGATCAAATATAATAAAATATCATCATTTGAAGTAAGTATTACCATTAGCTAATTTGGATTACCGTAATTAAAATAAGCAATTAATAAAGGTATATTTAATGAGAATTAGTAATTGGTCATTATTTATTCATATTGCTTATAATAATGAGCATTTCATCTCCTTTCATTAAAAAATAAATGTTTACTTCTTCTTCTTCTTCTTGTTTAGGCCTAAAATTATTATTTCAACTTTGGAATAATGAAAATTATTCATTTATTTAAAATTTTTGCTAACTTTTCATTCCTAATTATCTATTTCTTCTTTTTTTTTTTTTCTAAATTAATATTATTACTATAAAAAATAAAATAGATTTAGTTGATGTAATAAATAAAATCATTTGTTATGCCAAATTTAGCAAAAAACAGATCAAATAATAATTAAAATTGTTTCTTTATTTCTAAAAAAAAAAGATTATATATTAAATTCTCAAATTCGGAAATATTTCATTTGTAATTATTAATAATTTAAAGTTTATTGTTTCTGTTTTTTTTTTTTTCTTAATTTCTAATCATTTGTGGATCAATTTCAATTTTCCCTTTTCTGCTCGCAATTTATATAATGGGAAATAGTTTACTAATCAAATAAAGAGTAACTAGTGAATAAGTAGTAGTAGTAGTTAAACATTATTTGATCTGATGCAATAAAAGTAAGTAATAATTAGAATTTGATCTAGTGGAGATATTGTTGCGTAACATTTTTATTGTTTATTATTGCATTCGAAAATTTGATACCTTTAATAACCGCCACACACACATACACAGACAGACAGACAGACACATACAAGCACATACACATACGTGTTTAAGTTAGAAATTCGTTTATATGATATGTGATCTCAACTTATTTACCATTTCTTAATCCGAGAGAAACTTTCAGGTTACCGTATCAGATATCCAGGACAGCTGACGTTAGGTGTTTAAGTATTATTCATAATTTTTAACTCTGAATTCTGGTATATTTACGTAAAATGAATCTTATATACAAATTAAATATATTTAAAAAACTAATTAAATGTATTTTAAAAATTAAAAAAGAAAAAGGTTAAAGTTAACGGATTTTATTTGTTTTCTGCTAAAAGAAATATGTTAACAGATGAAATAAATTGATATGATTGTTGTTAAAATTTATGAAAAGATAAGATAATGCTATCATTTATATCTTTTTTTTCTTATAAATTAAAAAAAAAAACTTTTTTTTTCCTAGCGGTTAAAAGCTTTGACAGAGTTTATGTTGTTTATTATGCATGTACCAATCATTTGATATAATCTTATATTTATTTCTATATTTGCAGTTTAAATTGTTTATTCAAATACTTTTTTTTTTATTCGAATTTCTCAAAGCTATTTTTACTTTATAATAGCTAAAATCTGGCTAATTTCATTGAAGCTTCCAAATTACTAGTAATATTTAAATTAAATTCTAGAATGGTAACAATATGCGACAATACAAAAATTGTTTCAATTAGCTTAAATAATTAATTGACGAATTAATTAGAGTAAGCAACTGTATAATATAATTGAAAGTAGGCATTACAAAATAAATTATCTTGGAAAAACTTATACATATTTTATAAAATATAATTTTTCTTAAAAATAAATGCATCAAACTTGTAGGAAAAAAAAAACTTTTTAAATGTTCAAATTTTGTTTATATTTCAAAAAAAAAAAAAGAAAAAATTGGGTGAAAATTTTATTTAAACAATTCCCTAATTCTCATTTCGGCTTTTTTTTTTTTTTTATTTTTTCTACATTTACATTAATGATTTGATTGATAGTTTAATGATATATGAAAAGATACTGTCATATCAAATATCAAATAAGCATTGAACAAACCAACGTTCAAACACATTTAACATCAAATAAACAAATCGGTTCAATTGACACACATTGTGAAAGTTAGCCAAATGAAATTGCTAATGGTAAACAATATTTGGATAATCAAATGATGTCGCCTGAAATAATTCTCGTCAATTATTATTTTTTATTACTTATCTTTAATTTGGTACCATTACGATATGTTTCCACAAAGATTATCACTGCTAATGTTAACAGCAGATATCATAATGGTAAGATAATAAGCTTATCAAAAAGTCTTTTTTTTTTTGATTTAAAATTTTTAGGTTTTCTTTTTTTTAATGCATAAAAATGTTAATTATGAATGAATTAGCATAATTGAAATGAATAAATTCGAGAGCAAACCTTATATAAAAGTTGTTAAAATTTAATTAAATAATGAACTATTTGATTAAGAGGTCAATACAAGGTCATAACGTATCAGATTATAAATCTACAGCTTACAGACAATAAATAATGACTTAATTAGTTGTAACGAACAAATTTTCTTAAGCATTACTGAAACGTAAACGTAAAACACATAAGAAACCATAGAATATTATCGTACGTGTTCACACGTTACTTATATAAATCATCCATAGGTTCATATTTTTTTTTTTAAAAAAAACAAATAGTTCTGAACAAAAGAAATTTCTAGAAATAATAAATAAAAACAATTACTTTTAGTAGAGCAATTATCAAATAAACATGAGACAGAATGTCCACGTGGTTGGACACGTTACGAACGTACTAAATCCTGCTTTCATGTAATCGAACGTCGGATGCGTTGGTCTGAAGCAGAACGAGCATGCGCTAATTTTGGCGGACATTTAGCATCGATTACGGACGAATATGAAAATATGTTTGCTTTTAGTAAGTTTTTTATTCTTTTTTTTTTTTTCTTTAATTTAAAATTAAAAAAAAAAAAAATTAGGAAATTATTAATTTGTAAAAAAATTCAACACTTTTTTTTAAAAAAATCTTTCAATTAAAAACATTTATGTTTTGAATGTAAGACAAAATTGAAATGATTGCATTTTGTGTTAAAAATAAAAAAAAAAATTTAAAATTTTTTTTTAAAGATCTAGCAAAGGATGCAAATTTGTCAACGCCAACATTATGGTTGGGACGATTGGTGAAATTAACACGAACCGGAGCATATGAATGGAATGATGGTGCAATAGGAAGACATACCGATGGTTTTCGAGGTGGTAAGCTTTTTTTTTTTTTTTACTTTCTAAAATTTAAATGGATAAAATTAAGGTTTAATTAATTTTATTAATGTAATAATAATATTACATATCATGTTTATCATTCTAGAATTACCATCTGGAACAGATTTATGCCTAACAATGTGGCTTGATTTTGATCGTCCGGAAGGATCCTGGAATGAATGGGATTGCAATTATGTTTCCGGTTATTCGGCACTCTGTAAACGTTCACTGAAAAGAACACCAATTACTACAACCGGTATCAGTTTCACTTCTTTCTTTTTTTTTGAAACAGCTTATATTAAAATGGGTTCAATACGGAAATTAGCTTAAATTAGTCAATTCAGTTTTCTTTTTCTCTGTTTTTTCTTTTTAGAAAAAAAAATTTTGGAATAAATTTTGAAACTTAAATTTAACTTTAACATAATTTAATAAAAAAATTACATATTAATTTAAATTTTTTGTTTTGACTTTTGTTTATTCTAAAATTTTCCGTAATCTTATGGAAAATTTATGTTTAACCTATGTGAACTTTCCTATTCATTGTTAAATTCACATCATCACCAAGCATTTATTTTTTTGCTTTCTAGCAACATCCAATACTCGATCCGGTAGTCATTCCGGTTTATCATATTATAGCCGTCGATGTTGTTTAATTTCATCATTGTGTCACAATACAAGTCAATCATGTACACCTGAAGAACGTTGTATTCCGGATGACTTAGATTGCTGGGCTAAAATTTGCCCTAATGGCGGAATTGGCTGGTGTTTACCGCTCCCAAAAATTTAATCCATACCTTAAATATTTGCATACAGTTATTAAATAAATTATGCGTCTTTCACGGTTATTTATTTGGATCTCTTTGTTTTCTTTTTTTTCTTTTTTTTTTTGAATAATTTTTTTGAATTTTTAGCTCAGATTTGTTTAAATTCATTTATTTTTGCAACTAAGAATTACTTTAATCGTATATAAATGCCTTTTTTTTTTTTTTTTGTGAAATTTAAAATTAAAACTTCAGCCATATTTTTTGTTTGATCAAATTTCGGGAATTTCAAATGTATAAAAATAATGCTAAAGCTTTATGCATCTACCAAAAATTACATATAATAATCGAAAATGATCGATTGATAATTTTTTTTTTTTAATTATTGCATAAAGTTTATGTTTTCTCCTTATTTATTTATCAATTTATTTTGTATTTTTTTTTTTGCAATTGATAATGTTTTATGTTGTAAAGTTATATTTACTATTATTATTTATTATTATTTTAATAAAATGAAATTTCATAAAACTTTTGGTAGCTAATCCACGTTTTGTTAATTGTTGTCTTCAATTACAAATTTAATATTAATAAAATTTAAACTAATATTCACAGTTTACATAGAGTTAAAATATCCATTGAAATAATATCCATTTCATAAATACATTAATAAATTAACCATTGCTGATGGTATTAAATTTATTCTTTAATTTAAAATACTTCGATTTATCAATTTGTTGGATTTCTTTTGCTACCTGTATTATTTAGTAAAAAAAAAAAAAAAAATTTATTTCAATGCGATTCAGAAATTTAGTTTGATTTCATATTTAATAGAAATAAGTATTTATAAAAGTGACTCAATATTTTCTGCATGAAATTGAAAAATAAATCATAAATCGTATTTTTTTTTTCGATTAAAATCACTAAAATTAGTAAATTTTACGTGGAAAACGTGGAAGGGACTTTTTCAAAACAATGCAAATAATAACATTTTTAGCTTTTCAAAAATTTCGACGAAATTATTGAAATTAATATGAAAAATATTCAAAGGTGTAAAAGTATAATTTGATTATTTCTCTTCTTCATTATTATTACAAATTTTTTAAATTAAAATTTTAGATTTCAATAAGAGAAGAAAAAATTTTTGAGTTTTGCAAAAAAAAAAAAGAAAAGAAAAAGAAAAGATTAAAATTTAAAGCATTCAATTCGTATAGCTTTTAATTTAAAAAAAAAGTGTCACATTTTTGTTTGCAAATCGTGTTTTTCAACTTAGCAAATACAATTTAACAAAGAGTTTCATTCACTTTTCAATCATTCCTGTCACTTTTTTATTTGTAATGAAACGAATCGCTGTATGAGCTAATGATTTGATATAATAAAAGTGTCATTAGATAGTAATACAACAATTTTTTACTTATTTAAACTTTAATTTTCATTTAAATTAATTTTTAATTTTATCTCTACTTTTAACCAATTTCATCTCTTTCAGTTTCATATTCTAATAATTTATTCTGTATTACTATAATGGATTATTTTTAATCCAGTGTATTGCTACAATTATAAAAATTTTTTTCTTTCTCCATTTTTTTTTTTTTTTTGTTTATATTAAAAATTTCAATTAAATTATACTATTTCTATCAAAAATAAATGAAGATAAAGGAGGAAAGTAAGGTGCAGGAACAGTTTAATTCTCAAAATTTTTTTTTTCGAAAATTAAGTTTAAATTTCAAAATTCAAAAATTTCTAAACTTACATTTTGTAGAAAGAAAAAAAAAAAACTATTTTTCATCATATAATTTGCTGCAATAATTTTGCAAGAAAAAAGATTTTTTTTATTTGATTTCAGCATTTTTTCTTTTCCAATTCTAAATGGATGAATGGCAAAATTAATGATGATGACTGAGGCTGACTGCATGCATGCATGCATATAACTTGCAAGCATACATGTGTATATTTAAAAAAGAATCGATAATTTGAAAAATGATATGTTTACATTTGAGAGTCTACGATTAACGGTACACATATGAAAGAGGAAAAGCTTTCACTAAAATAAGATTCAAATATGGGAAGAAATATGGGTAAGGGTAAAATTATTTGGGATGATAGGATAGGAAAAAAAAATGAGTGGTATATGAATTTATGAGGTTAAAAAATTTATTGAATCATACAAAATTTTTATTTATTTGATGTTTATTGCCTCATAATTTCATTAATTTTTTTTTTAAACTTAGAAAAAAAAAGATATCATTTCAAATCGATAAAAATTTGTACCTTTTTTTTTTGTATTATTTTATGCTTTTTAATTCATTTTAAATTTAATTTTATTCTAGCTTAAATCATAAAATATATTTTTGTGTGTTTTTTTTAACAAAAATAAATAAACAAAATTTACAATGAAATATATAGATATATCATTTATAATTATATTTAATGTATAAATTTATTCATCTGTTACTTAATTGCATATTTACTTACTAATGATATTTTTATAAAGAATAAACAAGTAATTACAAGGATAAAAATTTGCAAAAAATTATTTAAATTATATAAATATTTGGTTTGAAATATTGACGATAATAAAAGATGCACTCATTTATTTTTATTTACAAAAATTAAATTAACAACTTAAAGTTATGAAAATATATGTGACATAAATGACAAAGTATAAAACAAGAAGTAATAAATAATAATACTGTAAACAAGTAAACCTTAAAATTAATTATGAATTCATTTATTTATAGCACTAAAATTTTAGTCTTACTTTTAAATGATGGAAAAAAAAAAAAAAAAACTTTTTTGATTTTCTTTTTGGTATACGGTAGCCATTAACAACGGTTGTTTAATATATTTGCTAATATTGTTAGAGGGTTGATAGCTTGAAAGTAAAATGATGATATAATAGCAAATATTATAGAAAATTTTTTTAAAAAAAGAGAGAGAGAGGGAGAGAGAGAGAGAAGAGTTAATTAGCGAAGGAAAAAGAAATTAAAAAAAAGTGGATGAGAGAGAAAGTGAAAGAGAGAGAGAGAGAGAGCGGAAGAAGAAAGAAAGAAAAAGCTTTTCATCTCTTTCTCTTTCCCTTTCTCTCATCAATACAATTATACAATCACACATCATTCTTTCTCATTATTTACCCTTTCAAATTATTAACTAAGCTAAAATTCTTTGTGAAAAAATCTTTTCTATTAAATTTGTCATTTTATTATTTATTTATTTATTTACTTATTTATTTATTTATTACTATTATCACAGGGGCGCAATGCTACAACTTGACGGTGCAAATGATTGTATTAAAAGTACGGTAGGTTAATTCTTTTCTTTTTTTTTTTTTTTTTTTTTTTTGCTAATAATTTTTTTTTTATTGAAATTTAAATTTTAATTCAACAAAATATTTAAAAATGATTTATACGTTAATTATATAAAAATTTTACAGGAAATTTTTTATTTTTCTCTTTTTTTTTTCCTTTTTTTTTCACTGCTAATTTCCTAAATTTTTCTACTAATAAATTTAAACTGCTCTTTTTTCTTGCGCTTAAACTTTTAAGTCAATCAATCAATTTAAGACTTCAATTTAAAATTTTAATAATAAATTTAAAAAAATTTTTAACATTAGAAATGATAATATTTAAAAAATATTTATTATTAATTATTTACATAAATAATAATTTTGTTTTCTAATTTAGTTCGTTGATATAATTTGAAGTTAGTTAATATATGTATAATACAAAAAGAATAAATCATTTGAACAAAAAATGAAATAGATGAATCATTTCTGATATTGGATTATTTTTTTCTGTCTTTTTATTTTTGATATCAGTTTCACTTTTCGACTGAAAGAAAAGATTAGAAAGAAATATTTATTTATTAAAATTAAAATGAATTTTATTTACTCTTCTCCTTTATTTTATTAGCTTATATTGGAAGTTTAGCATAAGAATATTAATTAATTAAAATATTTTTATCTTTTTGTATATTTTACATTTACGTCAAATGGTTTCATTTCATATTTATCCTTTCATCAATCTGTTCACGTAAAAAGTAAAATTGGACTTTATAAAAAATCAATTTTTTATTTTTGTACTCTTTAAAACATAAACAATAACTAATGCAACTCTTTTATTTCCTTTTTATGACTTTACAAAATCATAAAATACATTGAAATTGATTAATTATTATAATTCCAATATATATATAATTTCAAAAAAAGAGGAAGAAATCATTCGAAAAATGAAAAATAAAAACCAAATGATCAATATTTCTACTGTTACTCATTGATGATCAGTTTTTTTCTGTATTTTTTTCTTTTATTTTTCAAAAATTATTTAATAAATTTAAATAAATACTAAATCAGTGATATTTTAATCAATCTTATCATAATATAACTATCACAATTGAATCAACAAAATTATTTCCTACAGTATGCTTCACTCATTTTCAAAAAGATTATTAGTATTTCAATTTTCAATTTCAGTCAAAGGAATAAAAGAATTCAATTTCAATTTTCAATTTCGATCAAAAATTTATTTATATTTTCCCAAAAAAAAAGTAGAAAGAATTGAAGGAATAAAAAAAAATAAAATGTAAGGAAAAAGTTAACAAATACTATAGACAATAATTGCTTTAATAGTGATGTAACAGTGAATAGTTATGAGAACTTTAAGCGATAACTGTTATTGTTGCATCAATCTTAACTTTATTATTTTCTCTCTTTCCCTCCCTCCCTCTCTCTCTCTCTCTCTCTCCCTCTCTCCTAAAAAAATTTGATATCAATATCAGATTTATTACGCAATATCGGAACATAAATCTTTCCTTCATTCTTCTCTTCAAATATTTCCAAATAAACAGCAATGCTCTGTGGGAAGTTTATTTATTTCTATCCTTCTTCTATCATTTAAAATTATGATATTTCAATTATGATTTTTGAATTTTAGTCATTTTAATGCTTCAAATCGTTTTGTTATTGTTAGTAAGTTTAATGAGTTAATTAATTCATATTTTAACATTTATGATATTCATATATATTATATTATTTTCAATACTATATAGATAAATTATTGTAATAGTAATTTATTGATATTATTTAATTGCAATTTTGAAATTAAAAAAAATTAAATTAATTAATTAAATTTCAGTGCTGCAATATTAAGTAATAGATGAATTAATTAACCTATCGTTTCAAATTCTACACATATTTTTTTTGTTAAATTATTTCAATACATTTTAAATCTTAATAAGAAATATTTTTTGATGGAATAAAAAAAAAAAAAATAAATGAAGGAAAATTTGTAAATTTGTACTATACTATATTTATAATAACAAAAAAAGAAAAAGAATAAGTGTAGGTGTAAATTTACCTACTATTACTGTAAAGTTATACTTATTACTTACTTTATTATACTTAGTTATACTTATTACTTACTTTATTATACTTTTGCTATTTTATGCTATTTTCTATTTTCTAACATATTTTCTAACAAAAATTTTTCTCTATTAAATAAATAGGAAAAAAAGAGAAATATTAATTTTCATATTTATATTAATCTGAAAATTTAAGGAATATTATAAAATATGCAAAGCGTAAATTAAATGATTAGTATAATTATTCAAAATTATTAAATGCTGTGAGTAACTTAGTTTTCCTAAAACAATAATACTATACTAAGTAATATTTCGAGATTAGAATTTTGCATGTAATTTTTCATTATTATTTTTAAGTGACGTAGAATTTATCATTTATTTTTTCATTTGTAAGTGTGAGAATAGCAAAAAAGGATTTTTGATTTTATTAAAATTTCATTTATATAATTTTTACTTTTCTTTTAAAAAAAAGAAAAGATTTAATATTTTTACAAAAATTTGATTCGTTTTTTCTTTTTATTTCTTATCATTTCTTTCTTTCTTTTTTTTTTTGTTATCTTTCATTGATATTTTATTTTGATAATTGGCGGATAATGAAAGGTTAGCAAATGAGGCATCAAATGACGCACATTTTAGCAAGTTTGGTCGGATTATAAGATCGGATAGATTTGAAGCAGATGAAAAAGCGGAATGAAAAAGAGTGAAAGAATAGGAAAACTACAGGAAAGTGTCAAATTACTAGTTCCTGATGCTGCTACTATTGCTAGTGCTATTGCTAACGTTGCTGTTGCTGTTGCTGATTTTATTGGTGGTGATAATATTGTTATTGTTATTGCTAAATAATGATAATCATTATCATAGTAATAGTAATAATGATTTTTATTGTTATACTTATGATAGCAATGACAATAGTAATAGTGGCAAAAACAGCAGTGATAATAATAATAATAATAATAATGTCTTTGGAATGGTCAAAGTAGTAGTAAAATAATGATGATAGCAGTAACAACAATAACAATAATAGTAATGCTGGTAATAATAATAATAATAATAATAATAAATTTATATTAGTAGTAGTTTAACAGTTTTTGAATGATCAAACAAAAGATTAGTAGAAATTCATATTATTCCGGAAATTTCAAACATTTAAAAGTAGTACTTGTAAAATTTGTATAAGACTTTTAGAAATGATTGCTTCTGATCGTTTGACTATTTTGATTATTTAACTTTTTTTTTTTTTCTCCTGATAAAAATTAGAATTTACTGATCAAAGTTTAAAATATCAACATGTGCACATTTTTTTAAAATTCTTTTAAAAAATGTAGCAAATTTAGTCAAATTTAGTTAATAATCACCTTTTTTACTGATATTTTAGTAATCAAATCATTATATATTTAATTAATATTATCATTATTATTATTGGAGTATAAGTTAATTATTTACTGATAATATTAGTAAGTAATGCATGTATACGAATGATTTAAGCTGTTGTTTTAAGTAGTTTATTGAAATATTAAATTACTGAAATTGTTTACTCAGTTGTCTACTTATTTGGAAAATGACTACAATCTCTTAAATTAACAAATTGTAACAAAAATTTTTTAAACCAAATAACATTTGAAAAGTTAAATCTATTAACTAACAAAAAAATATTGATTTGTTAGTTTTAGAATGATGAAAGAATAAACAGCAAAAAAATTTCAAACATTCAAAAAGTAATACTGTAAAATTGTATAAAACTTTTAGGATTCATTGATTGATTACTTCTGATCTTTTGACTAATTTGATCATTTAATTTTGCTTTGATAACTATCAAATTTCATTCATATTAACATCATTTTTTTTTTAAATATAATTAACAAATTCAAAAATTTATTAGCTTTACAAAGTTAATAAAATTTCCTGAATTAGTTTCATTAATAACTTGAATTTTTGAAGCATTTAATTCCATAATATTAAAAATAATCAATGGAATTGCTAATTAAAATACTTGTAAAAAAAATTAACTTTTAATTAGCATAGATGTAACTTTACAAAGTTAATAAATTTCATGAATTAATTTTTAATAATATCAATTATTTGCAATGCAATTGTTGTATTGTATCAAAAATGCTTTCCATTTCAGTTTAATTGTTAAATATAGTGTTTATTCCGTTTTCTTTCCTGATTTGGTTTTTTCCTCTTATACCGTTTTTTTTTTTTCTGTTTTGTTTTTTTTTTGCTTCCGTATAAGTTATGCTGATTATTAGTAACATTAGGTTATGTTTGTGTTTGCATTAAATCTTCCACTTTGCTAGACTCAACAATATTTGCATAAACTCTTGCTAACATCTGTCCATTCATCTTCTAACCTTATGTCTTGGCCTCTGTCCACTCATTGACAAACTTTTTCTACCAATTAACCACTGGTCATGCCCTATTTTGATGACATTTCTATCACTTATTCATACATACAATAGACATTTTATGCAAATATACATAAAAAAAAAAAAAAAAAAAAATAAAATTCTCTCTGTTTTTTTTTTTATTAAATATAAATATTAAAAATTGTTAATTTTATTTGATCACTATTATTAATAATATTGCTTTCAAAATTTAACTAAATTTTTAATTTTCTTTTTCTTTTGTTTTTGCTAAAATCAAATTTATTTGCCAAATCTTTTTTTTTTGCAAGTTTTTTCTTTTTTTTAAAATTATTTTTGACAAGTTGATAGTGTTCATTTAATATACAATTTCAATGTTTTTTTTTTTTTTTTGTCAAAAATTATTTTATAAAAGTATTCTAAAAAAAAAAAAAAAACTTTGCAAATCCCATCGATAATATTTAAATCGTATTCAAATGCTTCATTTAATTGAGAATATTATATTGTATTATTAACAGTATAATTCTGAGTTTCAGGTACACAAAATTTCAATTTCATCGTACTTTTTTAATTTCATTTATTATAATAAAAATTAAAATTTTAGAAATCAAACTAGAACCAATCATAAAAGTTTTAAATTTAAAAATTTTAACATAAATGCAATTATCATAAATGTGCATTTTAAATTGCAATTGAAAGTTAATTTTCAAAATTGTAATAGTACTAAAATTACTTACTGTATACTATAATTGTCCTCAAAATAACTAATTTACTCAAATGTCGTTGCTATTGCATAATTTTTCTCACAGTTTAAATTATAGTAATTTTGCATATTCTAAAAAGAAAAAGCCGCCAAATTAATAACTGTTTGTTTCGCTTTATTTTAACTCATCATGAAAATGAATCAATCAAAATGAATAATTAAACAAAAAAAATAAACTAATGAGGAAGAGAAAAAAGATGAAAAAAAAAAGAGGAAGGAAGGAAGAGTGGACAAATGGACGGATGGACACAAGCATTAGCCATAATTTTGGATTAGGAAGAAAGAAGGCTTGATTGTTTGGGGTTGTAGGTTAATTGCACCGTAGTTGTGTGGTAAGGACCCCTGCGGTGGCACCTGTCCACTTTTTTTTTATCTTTCTCGGCGGGTTTTTTTACTCTTTTTTTTCCTATTTTTTTTCTTATCTTTATTTTAGTCATTTAATTTGCATTTTTCTTCTCAAAAAAAAAATTATATTTATGTTTGAATTATTATAAAATTTAAATTAAAAATGAATGAAATTATTTGACAATGTGGAAAACTTTGATGTCTATAACTCATATATAAATATTTATTAAAATTAAGGCTTTTTTTTGTGGCAAAATTCAAACTTATGTTAATTAAAAAATTTTATTATTCATATTATTTGATTTGCATATAAAATTTAGCATTAAATTCCATTCAAAAAATTTTTTCAATAAAAAATTTTTCCATAAGCTATGTGTATGTGTGTTGATATTAATTCTGATATTTTAATATTTTTAAAATACTTATTTGGAATTTATAATTTGATAGCATTTTTGTTCAAATACAATTTTTCTTTTTTGTTACACAATAATTTGATATTATTAATTATGCTTAATTAAATTTCATCGTTATAATGAATATTACACCAATTGTTAATAATATTTTTATGCTTTGTTTAAATCAGTTTAAATCTTTGAAATTAAATATAATGCAATATCGAAATATTAAATGTACATTAAATACTTTAATTGTTTTTTTGCATAATAATTTCAGGTGAAAAATAGTGCATTTCGGGTCTCATCTTCATCAAATGATACAATAAGGTTAGAAAAAAAACCTTTTTCTTGAATTCAGTGAAATTAAAATTAAAATTTTTCAACTGCCTTCCTTTTTTGCCAAATCAGAATTTAAAATCATTTGGACAGCAAAATAGAAAAACCATAGCAAAATAGCTTTCCTTTTAAATTGACTTAAAATAACAGAAACAAATTTCGGTTCTAAAATTACATTAGAAAAAAAAAAACAATTTTATTATTCTTATAATACATGTATAATTTCTTAGGTATTTTGTGCATTTTTAAATAAATATAATAAATACATAATAATAACAAAATAAATAATAATAAATATAACAATAACAGACTTACAATTATTATTTTATAATTTAAATTTAAATCTAAAATCCAAAAATTTTATAAGCTTTGCCAATATTTTTAGCCGTGAATCATCAGGACATCTGGAAACTTCACCAGCTGCATTTTTTGGTGCATCATTTGGTTTAACGCAACTACCGGGTGCTGTTAAACCGGAAAATTTAATGCCAACATTATCAGAGCGTCCGGTTGCACTGACAGCTATGTCGGATGCCGCAGCTGCTACAGCAGCTGCGGTAGCTTATGGTTAGGATATTAAAATATTACAAAATGGAATTATGAAAAATCTTTCACAAATTAAAATATATTAGCAGCACTATACAAGTTAGCAATAGCGAAGGTCAATGAAAGGTCAAGATCAAAGTATAGTGCAGAAAAAATATCAGTCCATAATTAAAAATAGCTAATTTAGCTGTTTCTTTACGTTTACAAATTTGCTATGTCAAAATAAGACAGACAAGAAAATAAATAGTAGCAAATTTGTACATTGTCCATTTAATGGTGGAAAAAAATTTTATTTTTGCAAGGTCAAAGGTTAAGCCTTTTTTTTGTTTTTTAGATTCTCGCATAATTGGTGCTACACCATATTATAATAGTGGTTATCCGAGTGCAAGTTATGCCGGAATGTACGCTGCTAGCGGAACACAAAATTATTATCCTGTTGTATCATCATCGTTACGTGGATCTGCTGCTGCTGCTGCCGCAGCTACGTCATTTCCGTTTGCTGCTGCCGCTGCATCTCACGCCTATTACGGTAATTGACCTTATAAGAGTTATTTCTCGAATAACAAAAAATATGGGCAATCTACCCATTCTTATCCTCTCTCTTTCTTTCAACAAAAATATCAGAGATTTGAAATGAATGACTAAAATGAATTGCTGTAATTAATTTTGGGAAATATTAAAAGAAAGATTTCGGGAAATGAAAGAGAAATAATAACAAATTATAGTAAAATGATTTGCTAACAAAATAATTTTTTATTTGTAAATTGGAAACTTGAAATTTGTATTAAAATGTAAAAAATTTCATTTTTGTGCTTAACGATAAATTTATGATTTATTAGAATTTAAAAAAATTTGTCATAAAATTTGCTCCTTTTTTTTGCTATATTAATAAAAAAAAAGTTCACTAAACAATTTGAAAAAAAAAAATGAAAATGGATGGTGAAAGTTTTTAAATTACTTTGATTTTTTCCTTTTCTCATTTCTCAATATTACTTACCCGTAAAATTATTTGTCAGACAATTTAATTCATCCTAATCACAATCATATCAATAATTTTAGCAATGTTTTAAATTAAATAAATCAAAAAAATATATACATCAAAAGTTAATTAATTATATCTTTTCTTAAATTTCATTATTTTAAATCAAAATTTTTTTATAAAATATAAAAAAATTTCAGGTAATGGCTATACATCAGCTCATTTTGATTATGCATCTTATCCGGCAGCGATGCACTGTTACGGTGGTCGCAGTGGTTATTACGGATGCTCCATTAATCCTGTTTCATCAAATTCATCCTTATATGTGTGTTTCTTGAACTCTTCCTGATCCGGAACTGATTATTAAAGATAATTTCATTGAGATATACCATTAAGATGAATAGTAGCAGTCTAACATTTGAGAAATGATTCGAACCAAATTTTATTTTAACAATAACTTTAGCAAATAATTCGGTTATAATTTGAGAAATTGTAGAAATGAATTTTAAAAGATTTGCAAAAAAAAAAAAAAAAAAAACTGATAATTTAACGATATAAAAAGTGGATAAAAATAATATGGAAAATAAAAAATTCCCTTTCTTTCTTTCAATTTTTTTTTTTGCATTTAAATAATTTACAGATTAATGTAAATTGATAAATTATTATTTCTATTTATCTAATATTCTATGATGCTTGAAAATTCGATTAAATTTGAAAAAATTAGTCAAAAATTGAAATTCAAAAATTGAATTGGAGAAAAAAAAATTGTTGCTTTGTTGTAATAGTTGAATTTTTGATAAATAAATCAATAAATATCACATGAAACAGAAAAAAAAATCTAATGTTTACAAATTTGTTTAAAGTTTAAACTTGACGGGGAGGGGATATAGCTCAGGGGTAGAGCGCTCCCTTAGCATGGGAGAGGGCTGGGGTTCGATTCCCCATATCTCCAGAGGCCTCCTTTTCCTTTCTCTTATTAATCTTTCTTATCAGTGTTTTATCATATCAATAATCAACTAGTTTTGCTCAATATTTTGACATTTTTTTTATGAGCAATTGAAAGATCAATAATTTTATCTATCAAAATCATATCAAATTTGTTAAAAATTTTCTATATAACTCTGTATATTGCATGATAAGATTAAAATAATAAATAAATTTGTTTATCAAATTGTGATTTAAATAATTTTATTTTATAAATTTATTTTTTAAAACAATTTCAGACAATGAATTCATTAGCAAATGATATGAATACATCCAATCAATTGTCTTCTTTCAATACAAAACATGAAACAAAACGACCAAGTGGGTTTTACATTTACAATTAAAAATTTGTTTTGTAATTTTAAAATTGTTATCTTTAAAAAAAAAAAAAAAATATTACATAAAACATTAACTAAAGTAATTTATAAATCTGCATAATGAATGATAATATTAGCAATGATAAATGATTTGCATAATCATTTATCAAATCATGTTTAATGTAAATTTAATTTTTAATTTTTAGCAGAAATTGATAACTATAATAATTTAATGTATAATATACTTTATCACATTATCATGATAATTTCAGCAGTTAAAAAAAAAATTTTTTTTTGTTTGATTAATGATTACTCTATTTTCTTTCCTTTTCTGTTTTTGTTGAGATAAAGCAATAAAACGTAAGAAAAATCCGGGTGCTACAAATAGTCCGGAAAAACAATATAAGCGTGCATTTATATGGGAAATGGAAGATGTCTGTGTATTATCCAATTTTTTTCTTCGATCTAATGATCCGATCCGGAATGAACGTTTAGCAGAAATGATCAATAATAATGTAAATCGATTAATTACGTCTATTTTTGGTATTGATCAAGATGATGTAAGTATATCAAAATTATTCCTATTATTCTTATTTTTTTTTTTTTTAATTATTATTTTTTTTTATTTTAATTTTAATTGATCTGATCAGATCGGTTTTTTTTAATTTTAATTTTTAATTTTAATTGATCTGATCAGATCGGTTATTTTTAATTTTAATTGATCTGATCAGATCGGTTTTTTTTCTTTTTAGCAAGATTGTGATTATGTGAATATCGAAGATGCTAATATCGATGATACATTTGATGATTTATCATATTCGACAGTTGGCATTGATACGCCAAGTACATCAGCTATAAATAACACGGAATCATCATTATTAGGTCACGCACGTGGAGGTGTAGATTGGATGAGAAAATTAGCTGTAAAATATCAACATATCAAAGATACTTATAATTCGTATAAGAATAATTTTGCTGGTTTGATTTTCTTTTTTTTTTTTTTTAATGTTAAAGAGAACTTTTTTTTTTTAAAAACATATTTGATTTTATTTGAGTATAAATTATCTAAGAATACAAAGAAATATATATATATATATATATGTTTTTCATTTATTGGAAAAAAAAATGAATTAGTATAATTTAAAAAAGAAGAAAAATAATAAATTACATATATCAATAATTTTTAAAGGTTCCACTGAAATTATTACTTTTTAAAGATTAAACTTTTACAGAAATGAATTGAAGTAAAATAGTTATTTAATTTAAACATTTTAACATTTTTATTTAGCACTGTTATTCTTTGATAACTTTTATGATAACTTTTTTTCCAATTTTTGTAATAAAATATTTTAAGTGTTAATTTGATTTAATTAATTTTAGCCTGAATGGCAACCTTGATTTCAAGAAATTTTATGATTAAACGTTTTAAGAGTCTCTTTAACAATTAATTACAAATTTTAAAAATAGTTGATTCCTTTTTTTTTTTTTTCTTCAGGTCTTTTGGAAAGGACTGGAAATACGGAGCGTGCTGAATTGTTAGCTTTAAAATCAACAATGGATCCGTTAGCCCAAGGCTGGGGTGAAAGTGTTGGACAATGTTTGAAACTCATTATCGATAGGTAATTTCGTAACATTACGTCATTTCCGGTTTCCGGATTGAAAATTTGATTTATTCAACTTAAATCGATTAAAATAAAACAATTTGAGCTTTTCTCTCTCTATCTCTCTCTCTTTTTCCTCTCTTCCTGCATTATTAACTTTCAGAATGTATCTCAGTACATTTCAGTTTGCATTTACAATAAAATATTCGGAAGATACGGAAAGTTTCCGGAAGATTACTAACTTCCGGTAGTGTATATTATTGCTGAAATCCTTATACAATAAGTCAAATAATTAAATGTCCTAAAAAAAAAAAAAAAAAAAAAAAAACATTTTTTATAAAAAATTACAGCTAGTAATGCAGTAGTGAAATGTGTGAAAATATTTACTTTAATTTCTTCTTTTCGTTTTTTTTTTTTTTTTTTTTGTTGTTAATTAATAAAATAAATTTAGTATAATTTATAGATCATCTCGAGAGCATTATGCAAATATATTATTAACAGGCGAAAATATTGTCTCAACATTAGCTAAATTATTAATTATGGAGCAAAGTTCAATGATACCGGCGGAAAATGTTTATAGTATAATGAAAATTGGTAAAGAGGCGGTAATTGATCGAATTTTGAGTCATTTTGGAAAGAAATGCTCTTTTGTTATCATATCAACACATCTTGATACACATGAAATTGCTAAAAAGGTTCCATTATTTATTTATTTATTCTCTTTTTTCTTTCTTTTTTTAAATGAAATTTTATATTTTAAAAAAAATTATGGTTTTAGGAATTAATAAAATGATATAATTAAATAATATAAAAGTGATAAATGAGTCAGTGCAAGTCAAAGTTATCAATTGCATTAAAATTTTCCCTAATTTTTAAACTCTAAAACTGATGAGAAGCAAATTAACAGCGATTACTATTAAAATTTTAAAAAAATAAAAAAAAATTATTGAAGTGAAATGAATTTAAAAAAGATTTAAAATAGAAATGAAATGAATTTATGTGTAATGCAAAAAATGTTTTAAATTTTGAAAAGAATTGCGAACGTTTTTTTTTTTTCTTTTTTGTTTGCAAAAATATTTTGATCGTTTTTTTTTTCTTTCTTCGAAGTAATTTAATAAAAAATTGCTAGTAGGAGGAGTAAGTGAAGAAATTTGAAGTGTCATTGTATTGTATTAGCAAATTTTCTTTTTTTCAGATCCGTTGAAGGTCATTTTTTTTTTTTTTTTTAAATTTAATGTTTCAAAAATCTTTTTAAAAGCATTAGTTTTGTTCTAAATAGGAAATATCATTGGAATGATGATAACAAAGAAGGACAAACATTTTTTGAATGTGAGCTGAAAAAACGAACTTTTTTTCAGCCTTTTCTTAAAAAGTCAATAAAAGTTTTTTATTTTTTTCTTAGTTATACAAAATGATTGCTTCTTAATTTTAATTTAAACTTATATATATATTTATATTTGATTATTTTTTATACAAAATTTTTGCTAATTAATGATATACAAGCAACAAATAATATAATAAGTAAATTTATCTTATTTTGCAATATTTATAATATTTTCTTTCTGCTTTTTTTTTTTTTTAAATGTTTTTTTTCGAAAACGTTTTGCTAAATATTTTTTTTAAAAAATGTTATTAACACTAATCAATTAATCCATTTAATTATTTGAAATTTTATAATGCATTATTTTTAATTTTTATTTCAAAATTTGTAATTCTTTTTTTACGTGTTTCGTTCACTTTTTTTTTCCGCTTATATAAATTATAATTGTACGTACGGAAATGCATACATCTAATCAGTATTAAGAAGACAAAAGAATTTTCCGTTTCTAGTCGTTTTCATTTTTCAGGAAAATATTCCATTATGGAAAGTGAAAAGTGTCCGTGATTTGGATCTCTTTCATTTAGCTCTCAATCATCATCTTCTCAGCTAATAAATTCGGCAACTGATTCGCAAGCATAAATTAAATTATTTGATAATTTTGATGAAATTTGAATGAATATAATATTTTCTTGGTAGTTTTAATAATTGTTTAATTAATTTATGTATTGTGTTAAGTGATAACATTATCAGTTATATGATTACTGTGTGATAAATTCATTCTTTTCATCTTTGTTATTTTTCTTGATTAACAAATAGTTACATCAATCGTAAATAGAAAAAATGATAAAAACTAAAGAAAATTAATTTTTACTATTTTTTTTTTTTTTTTGTTAAATTAACAGTTAGTCAAAAAATACAAGTAAAATATGCGTTGAAAGTAATTTACTTACTCATAGATAGTGATAAGTAGAATTTAATTTTATTTACGAATTAAATAAATTTTATTAATAAAATGATTATTTTGCACAAATTTGGTATTTAATTTTTTTTGCACAAATTTTATAATTTATATTGCATTTTCCCAATTTATACTTTTTAATTATTGCATTGTTAATAGTTTAGTTACATTTGAAACAAAAAAAAAAAGCAAAAAAACAAAACAAAAACATAAATATGCACATTAAACTGCTGAAATAAAAATTATTTAATGCATTAAATTGCCAATAAAAATTTATTTTTTTTCTTTCCTTTTTTTTTTTTTTTGTTTTTTTATTTAAAACTTTTAATTTTACACTTTTGTACCATTTTCAATTTGCAATCTTCCATATGCATTTTAGACATTTGCAATTCAATTAACAAACATTTTTGAACGCTGCAATTCCATTACATGCATTTTAAATAGTTTTTGCACAATGTTAGTATGATAATTTGTTAAATGATAACATTATAATGCTTTTTTAAAAAAAAAAAAAGATTTTATAAATATATAAATTTCTTCTTGCATTTATGAAATTTTTTTTTTTTTACATTTCTGATTTATTCATAAAACTTTTGCAATAATTCCAGCAAAAAAAAAAAAAAATTTAAATTTGCTCCAATAAATTATTTTGGTTGCAAAACAAATAAATTTAAATTATATGAAAGAAATGATAAATTCAATAATAATAATAGCAGTACAAAAAAAAAAAAGTTTTAAAATTAAAGCAATTTTTAAAATGTCATCGTTAATTCAATTATGTTAATATAATTTATTAAAATAACATTAATGAAATAACTTTACTAAGTTAATAAGTTTATGTGATTTATTAAAATATTAATGAAATTAATTAAAATAAGTTAACAATTTGTTAAATATTAAAAGTAAAAATAAAAAATGAAACTAGTGAATTTCATTTCCTCTTTTTTAATATAAAATAAAATAAAGGTAAAAAGCAAAAATAAGCTTATTGCATTCGAATACTTCTTTTTACTTTTTTTTTTAAAAAACAATTTTGTAACATTTAAGTAAATAGTATTTAATTTTATAATTAGTAATTTTACAAAGATTACATAAAAAAACAATTATATAAATTTTCATTTTTTTTTTTCAATGTATCTTACAAATATTATTATTATTGTCATTATTATTAGTGCTATTATTAATAATAATATTACTATTATTGATAGTACTATTATTATTATTATTATCATTATTATTATTCACCACTATTATCATCGATGCAAAAATGTCACCTAACAGAAATAATCAGACTGCACCTGTCTCATTTGTGTCGTAAAATTTATCGTTCTTGAAAAAGAAAAAAACAAAACAACGATTTCATTTTTCATTTTCAATTTTAGTCTGTGATTAAAAACTTCCATTTAACTTTTTTTTTACTTTCTTCTTTTATTATCGAAAAAGTGAATTTTATGTGCTTAAGCATTTCAAAAAAAAAAAGGAATGCAAAATTTTTGGTCCTTTTTTTCTAATATTTTCCAAATTTCTTCATTTAACAATAACTATTTTTGTTATTTGTAACAAGCAAAAAATTTTTTTAATCCTTAAAATACCTTTGAATGAGTCATACTTATGTATAAATATATTAAGGAATGAAAACATCGAATTATTTCAAAAATGTTATAGTATCTATCGCTTTTTTTTTTTGTTTCGTCTTTTATTTATTACTATTATTATTATTATCAATATAATAATTATTATTATCATTATTACTATTATTATCATTATTATTATTATTTCGTTGATTTCAAAAATATTTTTTTGTATATATTTCATTTATAATTTATAAAAATATAAGTAATTTATTAAAATATAAAATTGAAGATTTTTTTTCAACTGAACATAATTAATTTCGTTAAAAAAAATAACAAAAGCGAAAAAGTTATTTTACTGTTTAATTTATTTAATTATTTACTTATTTACCTGTTCATTTTTTTTTTTTTTTTTTTTGTGTTTAACAACAAAAAATAATAAAAAGTCAATAATCGAAAGAAGTTGACCTTCGTTTCTGTCTCTTTTTTTTTTTTTTGTCAACTGTAGAAGTAATTAATTATTTCTTACAATTGCTCTCGAGAATGATTCGATTGTATGATTTTAAATCATATCGGCTTCTTTTTTTTTTTTTTTTTTTTTACTTTTTGCCGTCGCTACTATTATCATTAATTTTGATAATTTTACTTCTTTATCACTTATTTTGATAATTCAAGATAATATTATCAATATCAGTGTCATCAGCAAAACTCAACTCTTTTTTTTTTTATAGTAACTTCATAAAATGACGCAAATGAAATTTGTTATTATAACATATTTGCTGCTAAAATTTTATCCAAAAAAATGAAACATTAATTCATTTCTATAATTTTAGCATTTTATTCTTTTGAAATCAAAAAAATTTTTTCTTCTCTAATTCAAAAAATTAATAGTAAATTACATCGAAACAAATAGAAAAATAATAATAATTGGGTAAAAAAAAAGAAAAAAATCAGAAAGTTTAAAATTTTTGCAATTTAATTTTAAATTTTAAAACAATTTATATTCAATTTTCTTCTGCAATCTGTTTTTAAATTTATTGTCTGAAATAATGATTGCACTCAGTTTGCAAAATGTAAATTATTGATTTTAACATAAAGCAAAAGGGTCAAAGGTTACATAAGCGCTAATGGAGGCTTTGCTAAGTAGACATTTTAAGAAACATCAGAATTTATCAATTTTCTAAGGTCATATTTTTCCATAAAATATTTAATTTTTTTTTCTGTTTGATTTAACCTTTGACCCATAATGCAGTGATATTCATGAATAATACAAATCAGAGATGATCTTAAGTGCTAATGTTTCACTCAAAAAAAGGTTAATGAGCATATTTAATCATCCAGAATTGCTATATCAATAATTTCAAAAATCATTCGAGAATCAATCATCTAATATCATTCAGTTGAAATTTCCGGAAATTGATCATATTCCTGTTTACATCATTATAACAAATCAAATCTTGCTCAATTTTTTTCCATTCCTGATTTTATAAAAGTTAATAGTATAAATATTGCTTATTCGGTTATTTATATATATACAAATCGGTTTAATCATCATTGAACGAACCATAACTAAACCGATAACAATATAAAATAATGAGAAATTTGATCATGATCATATATATATTCCGGATAGATCAATGCTTCATTCCGGTGTAAATTAGTTTGACAAAAGTATAAGATGAAAACGACAAAGGCGTGTCTTCGTCCTTTTTCCATCAGCAAAAAGGAAATGTTATTGTTGTTGCTTGTTGTTTCTGGAATTGCTATTGCTGCTATTTGTAATTCCAACTGCATGCCGTAATCCGGTTGGTATTATTAATGCACAATCATTGTTATTATCAAATTTTTTTTTTTTTTTTTTTGATTATATCCGGAAATTATCAAAAACCGTTATTAATTAATCTTATTGCATTGCTTCTTTTTTTTTTATCATATATATTGATTTATTTTTATTTTTAATTAATCTATTTGTAACTCTTTTTTTTTTCCTTTTTTTCTTTCCGGAAAATATTTGATGCGAAATTTTCATCTTAATTAACAAATGCAACCGATATTAGCAATAATCGTTGATATATTTTTTCTGCTAATTACAGCTAATGTTGCACATATTTCACATATTCGAAAAGTAAGTTATCATTTCTTTCATTTTCTTTTTTTTTTTTTTCATTTTTTATTTTTTTGTTTGAAATATTTAATTTAAATTAATTTTCTATTTGATTTAAATTAATTTCAAATGAATCATATTAAATGCGAAAATAAATCTACGATTATGGAAGTTGGTACAATAGCATAACTTATTTTTTTTTTCGAATATGTTTGAAGTAAAAGAAAGAATAGAAAAGTTGAAAGTGTAAAAATTAAATTTTGCAATATTAGATAATAAAAAATAATAAATAAATAAATAAACATTTGAAGTATTAATAATTCTTCAATAAGATGAAATTTTTTTTTAAGACAATTTGATCTTTCAGAGATAATTATTTTAAGATCAAATATTATAATGCTAAATTGAACATTACATAAGCATTTCTTACCATCCTCAAAAAAAATAAATATATTAAATATATAATTTTATTTACTTAATTATTCAAATTTCTTTTTTTCTTCAAAGGAATTATTTATTAAAATTTATAGTGATAAATATTACGTAAAATGCGCAAATATCTTAGACAAATATATTTTGTGTTATTTAATAAAATGTTACTTTGTACTGTATGTTAGTTTTTTGTTTTTTTGTTTTTTGATAACTGTTGAAATATTTATTTCAAGCAAATACAAATGATCAAACAATAAAATGAAGAAATTCATAGAGAGAGAAAAAAAAAAAGTAAAAGCACAAAAAAGGTTGGCATGAACTTCGTCGAAATAATATGTAAACAAGTTCAGATATCAAAAACAAATTATTTCATCGGAATGATCAAATGAAAAAAAGGGAACAAAAGATTAGTATGAACTATAAAATTTTTTGAAAAAGTATGATAAACAAATTTAGATATTAATTAATAAAATTTATCAAAAATCATTTCTTTAAAATTTTTTGAAAAAGTATGGTAAACAAATTTAGATATTAATTAACAAATGATATTTATCAAAAATCATTTCTTTAAAATTTTTTGAAAAAGTATGGTAAACAAATTTAGATATTAATTAACAAATGATATTTATCAAAAATCATTTCTTATTTGTCCTTTTTTTCTTTTTTTTTAATTCATTGTTTTAAACAGAATTTTTCACAATTTTATTTTTAAAGCAATAAAACAAAAGAAAAAAGAGAGAATATTTGACGAATTAATTTGTGTCAACATTTAAGCAATTCTAATCAATCAATTAATTAACTAGTTAATTAATTAATATAATTTAGGCTCATTCATATTTGGATCTTCGTATCAAACTTTCACCAATTGATGACACAACAATTTGTGAAAATGATCCACCTTGTTCGATACCATATGCTATTTCAGTATTACATTCTCCCAATCATTTTGATTTATTGGTATATTTATTTATTTGTTTGTTTTTTTTTTTTTTTTTAAATTCTTTTTTTCAACTTTTTTATTGCATTATTTTGATTTAACCAATTACTTTTTTTTTTTTTTAAATTAAAGAAACGCTACTAAGTAAACAAAAACGTATAAATAACGATTAAAAAGTAACGTGTAAAAGATATACGTAAGATTTGACATTATAAAATTTTAAAAATTGATTTTAATTAAATATTTTAAATGGATGGATTTGAATGCTAAAAATAATCACTTATCATTCACTTACTTTTAACCTTTTTTTTTTATTATTTTAAATTCTATTCCTTTTCCTTCTATACAATTAAACTAATTAGTTAATTTTTGTTGAAATTTGTTAAGTTAAAAAAGTTTGGAATTTGCTGAGATTTATTGCTGATTTCAAACGATACTTATACATCTATGAAAAGAAAATCTTCAAACTAATTAGTTTTGTTTCAAAAAAAAAGAAAATTTTTTTTGAGAGAGAAAAATTCATTTTTTTGTTGAAGATTACTATTTTTGTTATTTGATCATTATTATATGTATCATTTAACTGAGTAATTCAATTTTAATCAGAGAAGAAAAACTAAATGAATAAATATTATAAATACAAAAAAAAAAACACGTTAGTAATAATGAAAGGTCAAAAAGATAGCAAAGAATTAATCTTAATAAACATCGCTGTTTGTTTTATTCAAGAATTCATTAATTATAATATAACATAAGTAAGGTTTAACACAAATGTTATTACTTATAATAATTTCAAAATTAATAATGAAATTTCTGATAAACATTTCTGCTCATTTAAACAATGGACATTGTAATTTAACTTGATTATTAGTCGATTTTGATAAATTTCTTAGTGATAAGTTTTAAATCACATTGTTTGAAATGTTAAAAATTTGATAAAATATATTGAATAAATAAATTATAACTATCATAAATAATATAACTAGTATGATATTACTAATATATTATAAATATATTCAAAATGAATATTCAGATTAATAATAATTTAGAATATAATGATGCAAGATGGTGGATTATTAAGACACAATCATAATCGTTATAGCGATTCAACAGTGATACGATTAACAAAAGCAATGAAATCACATAATGGTAAAGTATATTTGGGATTGCGATTTTTTGATTTACCTGTTGGCATGCAAGGTTAAAATTTATTCATTATTTCATTTTAATTTGTAAATCACCAAAAAAAAGCAAAAATATTTTTCTAATCTTTTATTTTTGGCATAATTGTAATATTTGAATAGTAGTAAGATGATAATACATATGATAATATAAGTGATAATAATAACAATCATGTTTAATCAGATTATAGTTTTTAATTTTTATAAATTTAACAAACCAAAAATTACTACATATATTTGATTTCTTTTTTTTTTTTTCAGTTCCGATTATTTTTAGATATTGAAATTGTTCGATTGAATGATCCATTTTAGATTACATTATTATGGATGTCACCATGGTGATTGAAAATGGTATGAAAAAAAAGATGGAAATGATAACAGAAAATTATCGACTTCATGTACATGTTACCAAAGAGATGGAAAAAAGTTATGATATGAGAAAATTGATAAAATATTTTAATCTTAACTATCTGCTACATGAAATTTTCCTTGTAAAGCAAGTTTGTTCAGACAAATTTTCATAGGAAATGAAAAATTATATTTTATGACTTGTTGTCACTATAAATAATGAAGGAGACTTGAAAATTTATTTGAATAAATTAATGATAAATATAATTTTGTAGGTTTTTTATCAGATAACATAGACACTGATATGATAAATTCAACAAATTGCCAATGCATTCCAAAAAATTGTGCATGCTGCATGACATTAAATGTTGCAAAAATTGGACTTAATGATTTCGGTATGTATCTATTTAATAATTTTTTTTTTTTTTTGCTCAAGAGAATTTTATTTATTTTTATGTTTTGGTTTGTTTATTGATAAGAAAACGATGACACTTGACAAAATATTTCATGAATTGTGGATATTAACGATAAATCGATTACTGGTGATTAAAGAGGATAAAAAGATTTATTGTATTTAATCTATTAAAAAAAATTTTTTTAATTCTTTTTTTAAGTCTTTCAATTTTTTTTTGACAGAGAGAGGAAAAGAGAAATAGCAGTAATAGCACTTGTGATAGAATGCATTCCAATCTATACGATTGCTTCCAATTAAAAAAGTTTTGTTATTCATGGATTGAACATTTGCGCTCTTTTTGGTTTATTAGCATATGAGATAAAATGAAATATTTTCGCTCTATTACTGACATAATTTAAATTTAAATGGAAATAGAATCATTTCTTTTTTTTGCTTTCAATAAACATCACAAAGAAATTGTTTTCATTTAAGAAGAAAGACATAAAGCTTATTGGAATTTTGTAAAGCTAAGAATTTCATACGAATTTTGAAATTTTTCACAATAACACTTTTCCCATTTAAAATTACAGAAAGGATGAAATGTTTTGAAAATTCAAAAACGATGCAAATTTCAAACATTATTCTCGTATTGTCTTGTCTCGACTTGTAAATCTTAGATTTGTATTAGTCATACGAAGGATAGCATACAAAATCAGAGTTGATTAGAATACCATTTACTAAAAAACTAAAAAAATTCATCACTATTATGTCAAATATTTAGCTGTACTGCATTATAATATACCTATACCTGCTGATATGCAGTATATTTATACGTAACAATGTACAAAATATATCTATACTTACTGATCTGAACATATCTATACTTATACTTCTTAGTGACTTCATACTGTAATGCATTATGTTACGATACAATACAATATACTTTTAGTCACTGATATTGTATGTACAGTAAAAAAGTGATGCAGTATGATAGAGGACAAATCATCTACAAATATATTTTGTCTTCAGACTGCTATCTTACATCATCGTATCTGTGCTTACAGCGTACTGTAATATATCGTATCCGTGTTTACGACATACTGTAATATACAGTACAGTACAAAAGTGCTGAAGCGTGATGTAGAAAATTGAAAATGTACTGTACCATGTATAATGATTTATATAACAGTAGTGATGCTGTAATATATCATACTGAAACATAATATAGTGCCCATATAATGCAATATATAACATTACAGTATCGCCTGGCATACTGTAAAGACATACAGTATACCTGCACCTATACTTATAATGATTATATTTGTACTCATCAAAAAAATGTGCTAATAGCAAAGTTTTAAAATAAATTAAAAATTTGCAGCATGTGTAAATATTACGTATATATCAGAAGATATCGGTGTTCGTTTATCTTTTTCTATAAATGGCTATATTTATATTTCGAGAGAAATATCATGTTAGTTTCCATCCTTTCATTTTTCATAAATTTTTTTTAAAACCAAAATGATACGAATTTAAAATGAATAATACTTAAAAATATGCACTGCTTTTTTTTTTTTCTTTTTATTACAAACATGTAACAGTATATATGGAAAAGATAAGATTCACTTACAAATTTAATTTGTACAAATTTCACTTGAGAAATTTCTTTTCTATTATTTTCCTTGCAGTGCGTAATCCACCACCGTATTGTTTGTCATTGCCATTTTTGAAGGAATACGCTAGCATTTGCTTACGCTTACGTAATGTAAGTACTTATAATTTTTTAATTTAAGTGTTTCGTGCTTTCCTTGAACAATTTTTTTTTTTTGAATTTTAGCAAAAACAAATTAAGAATAAAGCGAGTTAATTTAGAATCTAATATGAAATGGAAATATCGTTTTTAGTTAAAACTTCGAAAAAGAAATCTTGACGGTTGCTTGGAATTAGACGCTGAATTGTATCACGTCCACGTGGCTACGATACATCTAGGTTGTTTCACTATACCAACCTGAAAATCGCAATTTGGAAGCAAATATAATAAATATATATATATATATCATTCTTGTTATATTTTCTTGTTTTATACTATTTCATCCTTGTTAACTAAAATCTTATGAATGTTTCAGACATTTTTACAGACATTTCAAAAATATGTAGGATATTTTACGTTTGGAGAAAAGTTTTCATATCAATTAAATGTTTAACTATAAATCCCAGTTTGCTAAATGCTAAAAGATCAACTATAAAAGTTCGGTATAAATCTGAACTCCATTCATCTTATTAATCATAATTCACCAACAGTATAAAGTTGACTGATTTTCATTTCAAATACACAAAAAAAAAAAAATTACCCCTAAAAGGATAAAATATCAGGTGTTTAAAAGAAAGGAAACTTCATTTTACAAACATACTGAGTTTGAAAACACCGGGAAAATCCGAATTGTCACCTTTAATCTTTCAGTTTTGAATTTGTAGAGATTACGACGACTTATATTATAGGACGCATCCTAAATCATTTTGACTTGGTTTCTTCGAGAAAAAAGAAAATAGAAAGAATTTTCGATTTTCAAGAATCTGATTTCCAGAAGTCCGTTTTAATTTTCTTAATTTTTTTTAAAAAAAAAAAAAAAAAAAAAAAAAACCTCCGAATAAGTAAAAATATTTTCTCATTTCTAATTAATTTTCTTTTCTTTTTATAAAGAAACTTAGGATAACCTTGAAATTGCTCGACAAATAACAATTATAATTTTATTGATAATCTTAAACATAAGAAATATGCTTAAATGCTAAATGTTTGAATGTATTATAATAATGATCACGTTAAGAGTCAAAAATTCAATCAGTAACTATATACATCTCACAGGTATAACTTTAACTTTTTTCAAATACTGATTTTGCATGCAAAATTTGAAAAACTTCATGCCATGACATGCAGCACCGAAGTTACCCTTTTTGTCAACTGCAACAATCGCACCCATAAAATTCGGATATTTGCGAGAAATTGCACGAATTGTTATTTCAGCAGCTTCTGCGGGCATTTTACCTTCACGCATATGGTGAACTGTTTGAAAGCTATAATATATTGCATAAGTTTGCATTTTAATAAAATTAGATATTAAAGTCATTAAGTTAATTCATAATCAAATTTGAGCCAGTTTTTTGATATGAGAAGTGAAAATGAGAAGTGGAAGTCATCAATTATCTTACAAGTGTCAACCAAAGTTAATTACTAATTGAGCCAGTTTATCTTCAAAAATACCTAGGAACAAATCTCATCATAATATCACCATCGCCGGTACTCACCGCACCACCGATATCATTATCAGCATATGCACCAGCACCTGGTATTGGTGAATCACCAATCCGCCTGAAATTAAATTAATAAAAAAAAAAAAGACTGAAATGAAAAATTTCAATCATTAGTTATAAAATGTAACAAATTTTCGGGTTGTAACGACCACAGACAATGTATACCACTAAACCGATCTAAATTAAATTTAGAATTGATAGTATTTTAAGCCAAAACTCATCATCATTTAGTATCCGACTCGCTAGAACTGTTTGAAACTTTGAGAAACATATTCATCTTCGATTTCAGATTGGACGATTATAAAATTATAATCACTATAAATGCAAGATTTAAATCTAAAAAAATTCTCAACTGGATGTAGAAATCATACTTAATTTAGGATGTTTCAAATTTGATTTCCCCCATCGTAATAAGAACTAAAACAAACATTTACTTCTGAATAAATTACCCGGGAATTTTGTGATTAGCACCATTAGTCGATGTACCAGAAGAAATATTGTTTTCAAAATCAACAACAATCATACCAATAGTATCATGATTACGATGATAAGCCTAAAAGAAAAAAAAAACTTATTACTTCTTTCATGGTTTTAATTAAAGATTAAACGGGTTGGGAATTTCGACTTATACTAATTTAGTTTAATTTTAAAAATCCTTTTTTACATGAAATTCAATCTAAAAATTATCTCATAATATGAGAATTGTAATAACATAGCAATACGATGAAAACAGGAAGCAAATATTAATAACTTGGAGCACGCCAAAAATGCCACAGAGCTTTTTAAAATGACGACGAACAAAAAAAAACAAATGAGCAAAAAAATGAATCAAACATTTTTATGACTAAACTTTTCTGGTAGATCAGTGATTGCCACATCAGAGTATGCTAATTTATCTTTATCATTGGTAGGTTTATATGGACCACAAGATTTGGTCGGATCAGGTGATACATTCTAAAATTAGCACCAACAAAAATTTATTTCATGTCACAAGAATTTTTTTTTATTTTTACAAAATTTTTTTTACATTTTTTACAAAAAAAATTTTTACAAAATCTAATTCACGTGAAAAAAATTAAACCTAAATTGAAGGAAACTTTAAAAAAAATGAAACATAAAAAAAATCAAAGTTAAGCTTAAATTAAAATTAAAACTAACATATAAACTAGAGTGTAAGTTATAAGCTAAAAATAAAATTTAAGTATTTAAAAATTGGTAATAAAATGAACTTTTCGGTAATTTGGCTGACAATTATGTTTGATCCATTTGTGATGCTCAGCATAGGAAGTATTGGTATACAATGATTCATATTTGAAGCCCATTTCGAGAGCAAAATTGGCTGCTAAATTAACAAATATGTTTATTTATTACTTTAAAGTCTAAATTTAAATAAACTGAGCTTCGAAGTAGTAAATAATTATTATTTGTAAAAGAGTATTTGTAGATGATAACTGGTAAAATTAAATGCAAATTTGTAATTTAAGAACTTCATAATTTTTATACAAATTACACAAATTTATAATTTGAAATAGTATGAAAAAAAAGTAAACTGAATGCAAATAAACTTACAGTAAAATTTGTAAAAATCAATAAGCTTAATTCTGAATTGATAAAATGAATTCTAAATTCATTACTACTGAGAAACATTACATTTATTACTACAACATTGATAATTTTTATGATAGATATATTCATACCTTATCCTTATCATTAACAGCAATAATACGATTAAATTAATATAATTTTTCCTATCTCAAAAGACAGCAATAACAGTTAATTTATTATAGCTTAATTTAATGTGTTTATATCTTAATTGTCTTAATTGTAATCTATTTCATTAGGTTAGACATTTGATGACTTATATTGAAGTTAAACAATTTTGAAAGTTTTACTTAGTTTTTGAGATAAAAATTAAAAAATTTTGGTAGGAAAAATTCATAAAGTATGCAAATTTTGATCTATGATATATACTTTACCTATTTACTCATAAATTAAATTAATTTGAATAAAAGTAAACATACCATGTTCACCGACCAAAATTGAATGCTTGGTGTATTTCATTACTGCATAAGCTACACGTGCTGCATCCTTGATATTTGGTAATGAAGCAACAGCGCCCATTTCATGATTCAAACTAAAAATTCCTCCTTTTTTTTTAAAAAACCAAATAAATTGTATTTGTAGTAAATTAAATTAAGTGTTAGATATCAAATAAAAAAAAAAAAAACCTTTTTAACAATTTGAAATTTGATATACTTTTGTAAATTTGACAAGCTAATCAATCTCCTACAAATAATGTAGCTATGGATTAAGCTAATTTACTGAAATAAGATAAAAAACAATTTATGAATGCTTTAGATATGATGGGAAAAAAATATGTATATTAAAAAAAGTAATGTAAACAATTAAATGATTTAATTCAGTATACCAATAAGTAAAAAGAAATCATTGACCAAAATAATTCCAATATTTTCTTTCTTTTTTTTTTTTCTTTTTTTCTTCATACATTTAATTAATTTGAAATAAACAAAAATTTTTAAGGATGAAAAAAAGAACTTAACAAATATACCCATCATAAATGAGTGCATCAAGTCGAGTTTCACCTGTTTCATCTGGTGAACCACCATACCCAACACTTCCATCACATTGTAATTGTTCACATTCTGTTAAACCATTCAATAATGATTTCATCCTATCATATGTTTTTGTTAGTGTCGAAAATGCTGTAAAATAATAATTCATCAATTAATTGAATCTTTACTAAATAAATATTTTTCAGTAAAGTTATTATTTTTTTTTTTTGATTTGAAATTAAACATTAATAATAGTATAATATTTGCTAATAAAAAAAAAAATCTACAATATACTTAACTAATCGGATAATAATCTCATGAAATACATATTTCCTTGTAGCTATCATTTGGTCAGTCAGCACAGAATTATGTATATACTATATACTAATTAAAAATAATTAAATATACACTGATTAAAATTCAAATATATATATGTACTAATTAAAAACAATTAAATATATACTAATTAAAATTTAAATAAATATACATATATACTAATTAAAAATAATTAAATATATACCAACTAAAATTCAGAAATATATATACTAATTAAAAATAATTAAATATATACTAATTAAAATTCAAAAAAATATATCTACTAATTAAAATATATACTAATTAAGAATGATTTAATATATACTAATTAAAATTTAAAAAAAAAATATATCTACTAATTAAAATATATAGTAATTGAAAATGATTAAATATATACTAATTAAAATTCAAATATATATATGTACTAATTAAAAATTAAATATATATACTACTAATTTTATATATAAAAACTAAATATACATACTAATTAAATTTATACTAATTAAAAAAAAACATAAAATTTTATTCATTTATTTATTAAACCTTTTCTGGTAGCAGATTGAAAGCCATCAGCTCCCCAAGTTGTTACTACCAGTGGTACTTCACATTGACAGTTTTGTAACAGAATATTGAAATAAATTAGTGCACTCAACCATATCATTATAACTGCAAAATAACTGTAAAATTTACTATCTGAAATTTAAATTGGAAATTAAATGCTTATAACTAATTTCTTATTACTTTTTTTTTACGTTTCCTTTTTTTAATATTATAAACTAACATGAAAGTTTAATTCATTTTTAGAAAGTTAAAATTATCCTCAAATATGTATTACATTTTAAAAATTATAGTTTTTTGATTCAAAACTTGTCCTGTTAATAATGATAAACCGGAAAGACATTTTGAATTTGTCACTTCACTGAGAAATAGATAAAATCCCTAACAAAATGTTATTGGAATTATCCATAATAATTTTAAAAACTGTTAGATTTTAAAAGCTTTCCGGATTTACATCTCATTTCGAATGCATTTGATCATATAAAATATTAACGAAGCAATCAATATTTTTGATTGCTATTTCTGATAAATTAAATTTTTAGAGTAAACTACAGGAAATGGTGCATAAAATTTGCATAAAATATATATAAAAGAATAATAAAGGTAATATTTCAACATATAATCAATTAAAAAAAAAAAAAAAACTTTTTAAGTCGTTCACAATGATTTTAATTTGATAAAATAAATTCAAATGATAGGAGAGGAAGCCTTTTACGGGTAAAATTTGAAATGCAAAATATATCAAAAAAAAAGGGAAAAAAATCCCTGAAACTTTCGAGAAAAAGATCAAACTTAAATTTCTCAACAAATGTTTTGTAAACAATGAATATAAATATTGGAGTTATTGATCGGTAAAGCAAAAAAAAAAAAAGAAAACAATTAAAAAGAAAAGAGTTTTATAAAAGATATTCAAAGCTAAAGTTGATTATTTCGAAAAAAAAAAAATAATTCCTTTTCTCTAATATTCAAATTTGAAGAAATGAAAGCTTGGAAAAGATCGAAAATTTACCTTGAATTATGAAAACATTGTCAAAGATTAAATTAATGATGAAAAGTTAGAAAATTTTTAAGGTAAACTGCATGAATATTAATTTGTGATAATTTCAAATTAATTTGGTATCATTTTTGGATCACATCACAATCAATTTCTTGTTGAATGTGAATTTTGAATTATAATTTTTAACTTTCATTTAACAAAATTACATGATTAAAGAATTTATCCAAGTTTAGAAATGAAAAAGCTGTAAAACATCAATCATCTATTACGCTTTTTACATCTTATTACTGAATTAACGACTGATTAAATTTAAATTTAAATATTCTAACATACAATCATTTCATGCATTTATATTAATTTAAGCAGCAGATAAATTAATAAATTCTTTTACGAATAACATACAAAATTTTAATTATAAAAAAAAAAAAAAAAAAATTTAAACAAGAAAAGTTTTTTAATAACATCTGTATGAATTGCATTTGCTTTGTTTGATGTTGACACATTACTCATCAGCCAATTGTTGATTATTACCACTAATTTTATACCAGAATAGAAAATTCAAAATCAAAATTAAAATTGTATCAAAAGAATGAGTTAGTATATTTCTACGCAGATATAAGTAGAAATATATATAAATATGGCTTAAAACATAAAGATTTACTTCTTTCATGCACACATGAGAAAGTGACAGAGAAGCCTAGGAAACTACGAATTTTAAAATTTCAAAAAAAAAAAAACAAAAAACAAAAGGAACACCATTAATCAATATAAAGCCGCTAATTTCGACAGATGAGCATTCAGATGGAAAAAAAAAAAGAATTTTATGAAGGAAAGGAAAAAAAAGTATAACACTAAGTAAGTGTAACTTCTTCTGCTGACTAAGAAAAGTAGTAGATGATTTCAGATTTTTTGGAGTTTTTTTTTTTTTTTTCGGAACTAAAATTTTATATGAACCCGAGAATTTTACTCTTTTAAATTTCCAAAACAGAACAAAAAAAAAAAGAAAAAAAATATTTCTAAATGGAATGATACAAGAATGCATATATGTATATAGAAATGAAAATTTCAGAATAATGATCAACTTTAAGCTTTATAAAAATTTAAATTTTTTTTTTTTTACTTCAATAAGTAAATATATTGAAAGAACTAGTTTAGCTAGTAAACATTTTATTCTTTCAAGAATTCAACTTGGAAGACTTCATGAAATTCGAGATCAGCAGCTTGCAAAAAGAAAAAAAATCTAACCAAATACGACGAGAAAAAGTTACTTTCTCAAACATACTTAAGCAAATGTGTATAGGCGAACAGCAATATCATGATCTTTTCCTTCGAATATCGTAATAAAATAAAATGATAAAACATATAGTACAGGAAAAAGAGATAGGATGTGACAATGTAAATCATTTTTGCTAATTTGTCCGGGTTAACAAACATGAAATATTATTAAAGATGAAAGGTTGAAGAATGACAAACAAGAAAAGTAAAAGGCTAAAAACTAGTAAGCCAACAATAATGAATTAAATGTTCACATACAGTTTAGAAACAATTTGATTAAGAGAAAGGAATTCCTTCAAAATCCCTTCCCCTCCCAAAAAAAAAAAAAAAAAAAAAAAACACAAAGTTCTTGTTCATGTTAAATAAAACAAAAACAAAAAAAAAAAGGAAGTTGAAATTATCCTAGCAAAATACTACGTAATTCACATGAATGGACGATGAGGTGGCGGTGGTGCCGCTTGTTGCGCTTGTCCAGCTTGAGGCGGTGTTTGACCTGGCGCTATACCATACACCGGTGGTGCAGCCGGTTGTTGCATTTGTGGATTATATCCTGGTTGTGCATACATACCGATCATTGGTTGTTGAGCATATATACCTGTAACATAAGACAAAGGTGCATTTACTGAGATGTAAATTGAAATATAATTAAAATGAAAACAATTCAGCATGAAGCAAATAATAAAGCAATCAAATGCAAGGACTATATTATATCATATACTACTTTATGTACCTTCTATTCAGTTACTCAAACTAGCAGTTATTAAGTTATAGAATTGTAATAAATCTTCACAATACTACCATATCTTTATGTTAATCCGTGTTTTATGACTTTCTTTATCACAGATTTATTTCATCCAAATAAAAAAATATGAACTGAAGAATTTGTTTTCTATTAAATATTATATTTTGTTATTTGCAAACCTGGTTGTGGGGCATAAACACCCATTGGTGGCCATTGCTGTGGTGGAATTGCAGCATACTGCGGTTGTGCCATTGCATGTGCTCCACCTGCAGGTCTTACACCACCTTGATTATTCCACTGAATCGGTTTCCTGGAAAACTACATTTGTTGCAATCTTCATTTTGAATAAATGGATTATAAAATAATTAGATATAATCTTCCCTCAATACTTCAATACTGCAAATAACAAACACAAGTTTCTTAATGATATATTAAATACGCAAAACAAATTACTCAAATAGAATCAGCTAAGTTGTAACAGATATGAAATGTTTGAAAATTCTTACCCATGATTACTTGTTCCTTTACCGCTCACCGAGAGATTATCAGCTAGTGATGATAGTGCGCTATCTAAATCACCACTATTGAATTTACCAGCTTGTGTAGTGGCAGCACATGGTATCGGTGGCAACTGTTGTGCTCCGTATGCATTTAAATTAGCTGCACCTAGAACAAAAATATTGTAGAAAGATTATGAAATTTATAATTTTTTTTTTCGATTATGGAAAAAGAAGCATTGGAGTAAACCAAATAAAAAAGACAATATGGAAATGCTAAAATAAAAATAATTACTTGCAAAAATCAATGAAATCAACTTGAAAATGATAAGTTATGAACTATTACGATGCATTTACACCAAATAAAAACCCTTCAAATTCATTTTGGGAAAAAAAAAAGAATAGAATTCAATGCAACACGACCAACACAAATGAATAATTGCTCAATTATTATTTCCTTATAAAGTTTTAGAATATTTTTATAAGCTTAAAGCTTATGACTACTTAATCCCATACCACTGCTAAATTACAGATTAATAACATTTCTATTTATCATATATCAGGTGAAAATCCAAGTGTTTGGTGCAAAAGCATTCAAAATTCATAAAAAAAAAAAAAAAAAAAAAAACAACTAAAACAACCACAACAACAAAAGTAGCAATAGTAAACAATAGAAATAATAACTACAACAACAACTTTATTACTATGATTCAACACAGAAACAAAAGTAACAGCAAAAAAAAAGAACATTGATAAGTTAACTGCTTCATTAACTTTGAACATTAACTTTAGGTCTATGATCAAAACAGTAAAACTGAAAGTTCAGCTCAGGATCTATAAAGTATTACTCCTAATCATCAACTACTTCTCATCTGCATTCTTCCAAACAATTTCGTATTATGAAAAAAAAAAAAAAAAAAAAACTCATTTATTCTTTAAACAATCAGGAGACAATCAGTTAAAATCCCGTTGCTTACGAGAGATTCTGAGCTGAAAATAATCATGCAGGTGATGTACATAATTTGTATGAAGATATAACATGATTACCTCCAGGTACGCTTTGCATCCCTAAAAAACAAATTAATATTCAATATATTTGCATAAAAGATGAATATAAGAAGATGAAAAAGAAGAGTAGATTTAATGAAAAATAAAATGAAACCAATGACTAAAAGGTATAAGGTAAACCAGGATGTGGTGCTGTTGCCTGTTGATGTAAAAGACGTGGAATAACCGGCGATGAATTATAACTACCATCCATACGAGCTAAAAATAACTGATTATATCAGTAGCAAAGAAATTGACTTAGAATATGAAAAAACTGTTCCGATATTTAAACATTATAATCCTTCAATATATAATTCAAAAATATAATAATTAATTTAAATAATTCAAAAATAATAAATAATAATAATTAATTTAGCCGTCCGAAAAAAAAAAATCCAAGATACAACTATGCTAATAGTTTTTCAATATTTTTATTTAACTTGCAGTGATAGCTAAGATCTCAGCCAATACAAAATTATACAGAAATTGATTAAATTCCACCGTTAAGTAATTCGACAGACACTAAATTCAACCGGAATTCTACT